TGCTGAGCAAATCATTTGAGAAACTGGACTCTATGAAAAGGAATGAACCTGTGCTATGCAAATGACACAACCTTGCTTGCTCAAAATGAGAAGGACTTGAAGTACTTATTGTAGAAGATCAAGGAATGCAGCCTTCAACATGAATTATATCTCAATTATATCTCATGAAAACAAAGATTCTTACCACGGGACCAATAGGCAACATTATGGTAAATGGTGAAGAGATTGAAACTGTCAATGGTGTCATCTTACTTGGATACACAATTAATACCCTTAGTACCAGCAGTCAGGAAATAAGGAGACACATTCACTAGGAAGTCTGCAATTAGAGACCTCTCCAAATTATTGAGGAGTACTTATGTCAGTTTGAGAACTAAGGTGCATCTGATCTAGGCCATGGTCATTCCAATCACTTGTTATGCATCTGAGTGATGGACAATAGTTAAGAGTGACAGAAGAAGATGCTTTTGAGCTGTCATGTTGGAGAATAGCACTGAAATGTCCATGAACTGTCAAATGAACAAACAAATATGTATTGGAGAGTGTGTAGCTGGAGTGCTTTTTGAAGGCAAGGATGATGAGGCTTCTTCTCACGTACTTCAGGCATATAGCTTGTTGTTGTTAGGAGCCATTGAGCTGCCTGCAAGTCGGCTCATAACGACCCTATGTACATTAGCTCTGAAACCAGCCCTATCCCTCTCACCACAATTCCAAACATGATGTCACTCTCCAAGGATTGGTCCCTCATGGCTGTGTGCCCAAAATATGTGAGACAAAGCCTCAAAATCTTTGCTTCCAAGGAGCAGCCCATTTTCACCCTCTCTAGGACAGATCTATTTTTTTTCTCCTGGCAGTCCACAGTATGTTCAACACTCTTCTCCAGGACAACTCAAAGGCATTGATTCTTCTTCTGTTATCCTTAGTTTTTGCCCTGATTTCAGATGTATAACAAGTAACTGTGAATATCATGGCCTGGATCAGGCACAGCTTGGTCTCCAACTGACATTGTTGCTAGGTAGGAGTGGCTATTCCTTGGAGAAGGACATAATGCTTGGAAGGTTGGAGGGTTGATGAAGGAGAGGACGAACCTTAACCAGGTAGACTGATACAGTGACTGTCACAATGGGCTCTATCTAGTGTGTCAAAAAGTGTGAGGATGGCACAGGATAGGGTAAGGTTCAGATATGCTGTTCAGAGGGTCACTATGAGTCATATTCAACTCAATGGCATCTAAAACAACAATCAAAAATATTTAAGAACATAAACTCCCTCTCCTTTATCTTTTATGGATTTTTAAAAGATGAATTCTTGATATCTGTGATATGTCTTAGAAATCTAACTTTATTTTCCCCTTATATACTCAAATTCATTGTTGTCAAAACAAAATCAACTCATGGCTGATGCGCCAGGTTTTCAGGGACTGTAAAACACACAGGAGGAGATTGCCCTTCTTTGTTCTGCAGGTTAGCTGGTAAATTTGAACCACCTCACTTTGGGTTGGCAGCACAACTCCTTATCTAGGAATTTTCCTAATATGAGTTCTCCCTTCTCAATCTCTGGAGATCTCTCTCTCTCTCTCTCTCTCCCTCCCACCCACCCTTCCTCCATCTTTTCCTCCTTCCCTCCATCCCCTCTGACCCAGCCATGGAAACTTCTGCTAAATTGAGATTCTAGATTCACACATCACAACCACACCCAGTTAAGAGAAAAAATTTCTAGAATAGATTCAAAAAAATCCACCAAAGAGGAGAATTCAATGTGAAGTAATTAATAAAACTAGGAATTTCTTTTTCAAATATTAACTCTATTTACCATCTGGCTTTATGTAAAGTGATCACTTTTTCCAAACAGTTATTAATCATCCAAGTTATTTCTTTTCTGTAACAAGGTCAATCAAAATAGCAGAAATTAATAACTATGAGATTTCTGATTCAATACTTACTTCAAAAGAGTAATACTCTTCTGAGGCATTAGTGTGGTGATAAGAGGAAAGTGAGCCTGCTTGGGAGTAAGTGTGGAGCACAAGAGCTGGGCAGGAAGACTTTGCTTCTCCAGCTCTTTTGATGTCTCCACTTTGACAGGTACAGTCTTGTCACTTTTATGATATTTATTTCAGTAGATTTGAGTTTTTCCCCTCTGGTAGCCTTTCAACTTTTAAAACTTTGACTATGCATAGTGGAGTGGACATGAGGGGAGGGATTGCATAACAATGAAAGAGTTTTTCTTTTTCTTTTCAAGGAGAAGAGTGAATTGGGGGGGTGAGGGTGGACAGGGAGAAAATTGCAACAATGAATGATGGGAAACCCTAAGTCTCTATAAACTTTCATTTAAAAATAAAACCCCAAACATAAAAAGCCCCTTTCACTAGGAAATGCTATACAGAGTCACTGTACCAGAAGGAATTAGCTGACACAGAGGAATTTCATGAAACAACGTATGAGCAAGAGCCTGAGATCATGAAAGAAATACAAGCTGCTTTGAAAGAATTGGAAAAAAAACAAGGCTCCAGGAATTGACAACATACCAATTGACAAATGTTACCCTAGATGCCCTCCCTAAGTTGTATCAAGAAATCTGGAGGACAATTACCTGGCCAACTGACTGGAAGAAATCTATATTTGTTCCCATTCCAAAGAAAGGTGATGCAACAGAATGTGGAAAACAGATCATTAATATCACATGCAAGAAAGATTCTGCTGAAATTTATCTAAAAACGACGGGAGCAGCACGTCAGCAGTGAACTACCAGATGTGCAGGTCAGGTTTAGAAGAGGCCATGGTACTAGGGATATTATAGCTAATGTTAGATGGGTCTTGGATGAAAACAAAGAGTACCGGAGGAATGTCTATCTGTGTTTCATTAACTATGCAAAGGCCTTCCACTGTGTGGATCACAACAAACTGTGACTGACTTTGAGAAGAAGGGGAATCCCAGAACATTTAATTGTGCTTATGCGAAACCAATACTTGGACCAAGAGGCAGTCATCAGAACAGAGCAAGGAGACACTGCATGGTTCAAAATCACGAAGGGTGTACACCAGGGCTGTATGCTGTCTTCATAAGTTTTCAATCTATATGTAGAATAAATCATCCAGAAGGATGGGCTGTCTGAGGATGCATGTGGCATCAGAATTGGAGGAAGATTCATCAATAACCTGCATTATGCAGATGACACAACCCTGCTTGCTGAAACTGAGGAGGACCTGAAGAGCTTGCTGCAGAAGGTCAAGGACTGCAGCCTTCCATATGGGTTGAAGCTCAACATTAAGAAAACAAAGATTCTCACCACTGGACCAATTGGCAGCATCAGTATGGATGGTGAAGAGATTGAGATTGTTAACAGTTTTAGTTTGCTTGGCACCATTGTCAACAGTCTTGGTACCAACCACCAGGAAATCAAGAGATAAATTACATTGGGAAAGTTGGCTGTCAGAGATCTCTCCAGGGTACTGAAAAGCAATGATGTCAGGCACGATACTAAAGTGCACCTGATCCAAACCATAGTCTTCGCAATTGCATGCTATGCATCAGAAAGGTGAACAATGACTAGAGACGATAGAAAGAAAATTGATACATTTGAACTGTGGTGCTGTACTTCCAGGAGAATAAACAGGTTCATCCTAGAGAGGGTGAAAGCAGGCTGCTCCTTGGAGGTAAGGATTCTGAAACTTCGTCTAACATACTTTGAGCCTGTTAGAAGGAAGGGTTGACTGGTCCTTGGAGAGGGACATCATGCTTGGGAGAGTGGAGGGACAGCGCAGGAGAGGAAGAGCCTTGATGAGTCAATCAAGTCACTGGGGCAATGGGGGCAAATGTGTCAGAGACAATAAGATTGTCACAGGATAGAGTAAGGTTGAGAGCTCTTGAACAAAGGGTCACTATGAGTCCCAAGTGACATCATGGCATATAACAACAACATACTTCATAAGAAATAAAAAATCATCAACATGGATCCATATTCTTTTTTATCCCAGAACAACTGAACAATATAAAATTCCAGTTTATTACTTAACGGGACTATTTCAAATAGGTCAGTAAGCAAATAAAATGAGCAATAATTTCACAGGAGAAAAAAATAAAATCTTTCATCTTTGCCATTCTTTACTGCTTCATAAAAACAAAATGTTGTGTACTGTCCAGTGGAAACAGACTCATAGCTGATCCTCCAGGGGTATTTAAGAGGCTGTAATTCCCAAGAAAGTATATTTCCCAACTTTCTCCCCCGGAGCAGCTGGTGGATTAGAGCCATGTTGTTGTTAGGTCCCATTGAGTCTAGTACGACTCATAACAACACTGTGAACAAAATATCTGAACCTAGTTCTATCCTGTGCCATCCTCACACTTCCTGATGCGTAAGAGCCCATTGCAGCAATCACTTTGTCAATCCTCCTAGTTGAGGGTCTTCCTCTCCTTTGCCGACCCTCCATCCTTCCCAACATCATGTCTCTCTCCGAGGAATAGCACCTCCTAGCAATACGCCCAAAGTATGTGAGACAAAGCCTCATCATTCTTGCCTCCAAAGAGCATTCCAGCTGCTTTTAGTCCACACTTGATGCTGGGTTCACCACCTGCCTCTGACATATGACAATCCGTGAATTTGAGAGTAGAATTGTGCTCCGTCTGGATCGAGGGTTGATTGTCCAGTGTGGATTTGCAGGCCTTTCTCCCAAGGCACCACTGACTGGGCTTGAACTTGAAACCTTTTTTTAGCAGCCAAGTACATTAACCCTTTTCACCACCTAGAGACTCCACACTAGTTTAAGAGGTTTGGAATTATAATCTCATTTGCTACAACTCATGACAAAAGAAAACAGTACTGCTATTCACATGTGGATTTTTATTTTCAGCCCTTGACAATTTTTAGCCTCTGGCAAGTGGGCCTTGGACTGGCAGGGCTGGTTGTTGTATGTGATTGGGGTTTATGCTTTGCATTCTCATCATCCCATCTTTGCTTATTCATTTGGAGTTCTTGGCACAGGGTAGAAGAGAACTACTAGGTTACATCACTAACTGCCTGCTTGGTTCTTCTTCACACAGGCGAGATATTCCTGCACATCCTCCGGGGATCCGAGGATGAGGGGGGCTCGCTGGTGAATGCTCTCAGGCTTCACATCCAACACGGGTTGAGTACCTGTGGTTGCCACACCTCCAGCCTGCTCAATGATGTAGGCAACAGGATTGCATTCATACAGGAGCCGGAGCTGTGGAGAGAGGAACATTCATGTATACCAGCTTTGCAAAGGACCTGAGTACTGAGCTTAAGCTTGCACAATCTAGGGTACAGGACTTTGATTTGTCTTGTTAGCATAAGTAGGCTGGTGCACCTATTAGAAGTGGACCACTTGAGCCCAAGATTCTCAACAAGGCTGAGTGATGTCTTTGGGGTTAGATGGCTGAGACCTGCCTTGAATCTTTTATGCTTTTGAGACATCTGTCCAACATTTCTTTGTTTTGTGTCCTCATTTCTTGTTGGTTCAGCTATGAAGCAAACTGAATTTGTAAATCTAATTAGAAAATAAACTGAACGCAGCACGAGGGCGACACAGCGCGAGGGCGACGCAGCGCGAGGGTGAGGCCGGCAGACCGGGGAACGCCGCCACCAGATGGGGAAACGCCGCCGCCAGACGGGGGAACGCCGCTAGAGGGACCTGGAAGAGACCCGGGAAGAACAACAGCCAGCCACCTACCACGGAACTCCAGAGGAGCGAAGACTGTGAGACCCCAGAGGAATGAAGACTACCGGACACTGTGTGACCCCCCCTGCAACCCACACCTGTGTGACCCTTAACACACAGGGTGCTGCTGCATAAACCCCCAGCAGCGCCCAAGCCCCGTCCC